TGGCTGTACTGGAAAACTAACTGATTAAGATCGTTCGTGATGAAACTTAAATCATCTGGACTGATTTTTCTTACGTCAGGAAGGAGTGTCTCGAACCAACGTAAATCGATAACAGGACTCCTGGTTGGAGTGGCTTAGACAATGCTGTCACGACTATTCGCAGTATTTGCTGTGGAAATGACAAGTAAATCCCTTACTTCAAAAAAAAATTTGTAATTGCTAGCTGGATTGTAAGTCAGGAGATTATCCTTAAAAAATAAGAGCTTCTCGTAAAACTTACATTCAGATCTCGTTCTTTCTAAACAAGTGGCTCCTGAACGATGGTTATTAAGCTTTCTGAACTCATACTCAAGTTCAGCTTTTTCGCTTTTCCACTTATTTCAAAGAGTATTATCTGTTAATAGAAAAAGAAATATTAACAATATAATTTTACAAAAGCAAATTGGTAAAGTCATAAAAATTTGCACGTTTCGTAGTATTACCTGGCAGCTCCAAGTCCTTGGCAATAGAATTCCAAAGTTAAACTTCATGCTTAGGATCCTTTAATTTAAAAAGACGCTTTTTCCACAATGGCTTGCGTATTCTCACAGCGTCTGTCAGCTTGAATATTTGGTCTTTATTAATAGCACGACTTGAAGATTTAATTAATAGTCAACGAAACTTAGCTATTGTCTCGCACAAACGACCATAAACTTACGAAACAGAAAAACGTGCAAATGCTGGTGTTGTTTGTTAAAATGATGGTCACAATTTTCAACTATCAGGAACGTGATTAGTCTCCCAGGCGTTCGGGACAGCTTGGGAGCTCATTAGGCCGTACCGGCATTCACCTCGGGCATACGAGTATATGCACAGGCTCGCGAGTATGCAGCAAGTATATACGCTCAATATAAGATGATACAAGATTACACAAAATGGTACAAGATAACGCATGTTAACGGTTGAAGCTCTACGCGATTCCATGGGTAAAAGAGCAAATGCCTGAACTTTCACGACAAAGTAATTATAAAGCTTGATAGTACTGGGTAGTGATAAATGGTGCAAATGCACTGTAAGCTTTGACAAGTTATTGACAATTTTACTTAGTGCTACCTCTAATAAATCAGCAAAATCGTTTTTTTTGCTAGTCAATGCTGGACAAACGGGGCATATAGGCTAGCTTACAGAAAGATCATCATGAGAGGCTAAATTACCTTAGTAGAGCATCCAGCAAACAGGAATCTTAATTAAAATTATGTCGTTAGGCTGTCAGTATAAATGTACTGTATCTAATAAGTAAATTTGTATCACAGACTTTACACAAAAGATTGAGCCAATTAGAGCAACTAAATGCTTTTTTATTTAGCTAAGGCACATTTTTTCTCGTTTTCATGGGCAGGAAAGACTGATGTACAATTCATTAAAGCATGGGAGTGTGGGTAAGAGATTTGATGTCCTTTTATCTCACTTGAACTTACAGGCTTGAATGAGTTACTAATTGATATTTTCTGCTCATGTTAACGTAACAAACTTTGTCTGAGCAGAATGTAAGGGCGCGCAGATTTTTTTGGCTCGTTCTATTGGGTAGAGCCTATTTCGCAGCTCTATAACTTATGATGAGACTGAACCATTAAATATATATCAGAGGCATTGAAAAACAAATTGACATCCTTTGTAAGGTGGTTATTTTTATAAACTGAATTTGAATTTTATGTTTTTGTCATTCAAACTGTTATTACCTGGATTGTTATATTAAAAGAATAGCGTTCCAGTAATTTGTAATGGCTAATACATGATGTTGTAGCTTTATTTGTAAGAAAAACACCGTGCAAGAGGCATAAGGTCCATTTTGGTAACGTTTGTGAAATATTTCTAAATACGTCGATGCTTCATAAGATAATATATTTACTACGAGCAGGTTTTCAGTGGCACCACCAATGCTGGAGTTCAGTTCTAAATTTTCCAATACGAAAGCATTAGATCTTACAGGTACGTCTGTATTCCAAAAAACTACAGTTCTATTTTAATGTGGCAGCTTATGAAACTGGTACTTATTACATGATATTGTAATAGTTTATCGGAAAATAATTATCTCAAAAAATACAAATCAGCAAAAAAATAAGAAAACAAAGGTCAATGATAGTTTTAGATAAACAGCAGGTATCAGCTATACCTATGAACATGGCACTTCTGACGAACTGATTAATCTTGCCTGGCAAGTATGGAATTAATTTTGACCATGTAACAAAAATAGTGTAGTAATTACTCCAAAATAATTCAAATTTAATTTAGTGTACCAATGTTGTGTAAGAATTATGAATTCCATAAGTTACCATATAAAAATAGAATTGTAGTTAATTAAAATAGAACCATTCCTATAAGATCCAATAATATCATGCTGGTTTATTGAGTACTGAACTTCAACATAGGTGGCACCACCTAAGATGTGCTCATAGTCATTATAGTAATTCATTAAACCTTATGAAATACATTGAAAATTTTAATGTGTAATATTACAGGCCATGTCTCAAGAGGATAAGTGAGCTTTGAAAAACTGTAACAGTTTGAATAAGGACTTAGTAAAAAGGCAGTCTGTTATCCTGGAAGTCAAACTTTGAATTTCAAATACAAAAGAAAGAATCAAATCAAGAAACATGAAAACATATTTAACCCTAAGTTGTATTTTTAGCGTACGTCGTATATATTATTTTATGATAGGGTAGACTATACTAATTGTAATAATAAATATCATACAGTAATTTCATGGTTTATTACGCCACATGGGAAAAAACTACCACAATCCTTTCCAGGTGTGTAATTGCCTTTTGAGTCAAGTCAATACTATACTTTTGTCCCGTGTAGCGTATACGATTTTTTACTCTCTGTCGTAATATGACATTTCTTTACAATTTCAGGGTAGAGAACATATAACCTCCCAAATAAAACTCACATTCTTGACCAACTAGAAAAGTATTTCGGAGTTATCTGTCTGGAAATTGTCTCCCGGGCAGCAGGTAAGCTTCTATAATTAGAGAATGCAAATTTTTACCTAGGAGAAATGTTGCAATTTTATCCCTACAGTTAGGAAAGAAGCGTNTACGGATATAAAAATTTGCTTCGAGAAAATTTAACTATTAATTAGTAAATCTACGATGATTAATACAATCATCCTCTTCATCTTGCTCCAATATAAAATTCATAAGGTACAAGTAAATATAAAAACTTGGTAAAAGGGAGCACATTTTTATTAAACAAAATATTTGACGTTTCGTCGAAACCAAAGTCGACCTCTTCAGAAATAAATACGAGAGGCGCTTCTCCTTTTACATCACGATTGTACATGTTACCTGACAATCGTGATGTAAAAGTACAATGGCAAAGTAAACAACAGGCATAAGTAGTAAGGGTACTATTTTTAAGTAAAGTTTAGTCAATTTTTGAAATAAATACATCCATTTCTAATACCTTCAGGTAAGCTGCTTGAGCAGTCTAAGTATTATAACATATCTTCAATGAAAGCTAAGATTATACTCTTTCGACTAAAAAAAACTTTGGCTTATTTGTTGCTATTACTAAAAATTGTCAGAGATTGAATGAAGAGCAACAAAAATCGCTAAAATTAAGGCTGACGATATTTGATCTAAATTTTAGTTTCCACTTAATCGCTTGTGACATTTTATTTTTTTCATTTTATGGAAATTGATTTACGTACACGTAAGTCACAGAATAAATTCCCTACGCAAAGCTACCCATGACCATTCGCGTAGAAAATATCTTTTTTTTTATTCCCTCTTTTGTAAAAGGTTGTGGAGTCAGTAATTATGGCCATGAAGAATAAAGACGTTGAATGGACTTTTGTCGCTATATCGATCCTAAGCTAAGAAGCTGCTGGATGAGGATAGGGAATAACCAGTTCCCTTGTAATTGTAATGTATTGATGTTTTGAAAAAAGTATGAAAGTAACATGGTAAGGATATTTAAATTTTTTATACAATACAGTGAATTGCATATAATGAAGCAATTATATTGAATTAAATACCTGAATTACAACATACAGCTTGCAAGCTGTAACCATAAAAAAATTTATTTACAAATCAAACATTTAATTGTTCGAATTTATTTAATATGATTTCTGATACATACTATCAATCGTCGAAATTATTAGGTATTAATAATAATTAGCAAGTTGCATCATCCAATCCTTAGCCGTTTATTAACGAAGGTTTTATGAATTTACATGCAATAAAATTAAGTAATATCAAAATGGTAAAAATATATGTAAAGATTGAAACTATTTACATGTTAAACGTTATAACTGAAATTCTCGCAAACGCGTATTATTAATCACAGAGTAGCAAACAATAAATACATGTGAAAATACAAGCGATAGTACTTGTAGAGCACATATGCTAGTAGTAAGGGTACTATTTTTCCAGACACTCTCATAGATATATGTCATACGGCTGGCGGCGAGAGCGGGGGCGTGGCCGGTGTCCTATTTTGGCAGGCCACGTGATCCTGCGTAGGTAGCCAGTGTGCGCGGAAGAGGGCGCGCGGTGGCCCCGCGTAATTTAAATATTATTACCGACGCTGCTTGGCCGGTAACAATTTTATTTTTTTTTACTCATTTTTTACCCATTTCTAATACCAAATACGGTTACTTTATAAGAACTCTAAGAAATGTAAATCAAAATATTTTTTAAATTTTCCTGTGTTATGTCAAAAAATATTTTTTTTAACTAATAAATGCTTTGATAAACTTTGTCCACATGCTGGAAAAAGATAATTTTATAGTTGAAAATTTATTTAAAGGGTAGTGTATTTCTAAGCTGTCTTTAACTTTATAAACTTGTTTGGCCTTTTTTTTAACAATGTGTTTATATTAAATGAAATTGATTTATTGTCGACTTTATAAAGACTTTTGATTGTTACCAACAATTTCTGAACTTTAAGGTAATGTTACACTTGAAAAAAAACTAAGTGTTGTAACTTTGTAGAATATAAATAGATATGATACCTACCTTTGTGATGCCTAAGGTGAGTGCGTCCACAGCACGGTTGTTCAAAGTATGCATGTCCTGGATGAGCCCCTTGAGGCCTGTTTGCACTTATTAATTCTGGTAATAAACTAAATATAGATAATAATATACCTCCCTTTACACAAAGCATGATTTCTAAGCAAATCATAGACGTTTGTTACAAATCACATTAGTGCTGATATTAAAAAATTATCAAAATTTTACAAGTGGTTCATACAGGTAAATACTATTCAAAACTCTCAGCCTGCATATCCCTATATACTGAATGGTTAGAAAAATCAAACAAACTAATTAGATGAATAAAAATTGAACATTATTTTATACAGCTTTATCCAAAGATTGTATATCAAAGATGTAATGCACTCACTACAAATCCTCAGTATTTTCAAATAAACAATGAAAATGGAAGTAATACATTTTAAAACTCTGTTATTTTTGTGGTATCTCACTACCTGGTCACAGTGTTACTGCCAACATCACCCTGTTTATGCTTTGCTTCGATTGAGCTCGGAAGTATTCGAGTAAACTCGTTGAACGTACATCCTTAGTTCTCACCCCATCAAGGATACATTTAGCCTGCCAATATAAAATAATCATGTCAAATTACTTTGGTGTATCTGTAGAAAATATGAAAATTTTTTAATAATTCAGTGAAAACCTTTGCTAACAAAAAATTTAATAAAACTATTTCTGACTTTAAAGACTAAACTTCATTACTCATTTACAATAATAGTGTTAAATTTGAAATACACCGTAAAGTATTTTGACTACTTATGATCAGATTTTTTTTACTACTTAAGCTTTTATTTTTTCTGCTGATCATAGCACTATTTTCGTATTTTATAAGCAAAAATAAATAACTATTTTTAAATAACCAAACTCTTACTATGCTTTGGATTACACACTTACTGTATTGCTCTAGTTAAAAGTCAGTATATTGACAGCTCCTTCATCTCTTATAAATCTAAAGTATTATAAATTATTTAACAAGAGAAAAAGTTAGATCTTACAACTTTTCTCCTACGTGAATAATCATTTCATAAAATATTTATAAATTTAAGAAGATTGAGGATTTTCTAAGCTTAATTACGATTTTGTGAAAACTAGCTTAAGTATAAGTGTAACCCTGATAAAACATAAGAAATTATTTGTGTCAACATATACACGGAGCTCACTTTGACTATCCATCAATTGATATCCTGAACGACGGGTCTTAGATAATATCATTACAAACTTTATGTTCTACAATTATAACCAATGCTCACTTCTTAACTCAAACTAACAATTTTATTCATTTAAATGCATGCCATTAGTATTTAAAGAATGTTACAATTAAGAGATCTCATGTGACAGTAATCTATGAGTTGAGATCTGTCCTTAAAATAAATATATAGAAGAATATTAAAAATTATCTTTAANATTTAAAATATAATTCTAAGTTATTCATTTTGATCAAAGTACATCGTAAAACAATTATTAGAAGTGGGTGATTAGGCGGGTTTTTGAAATAAAAACCATCTTAAAATGTATCATTTACATATATTTTTTATAAAAACTCACATTATTGAATTAAGCTTACATATAAATTTTAATAATGTACTTTTCTATGGTTGCACTTAGATTTACTAGTTTGAGTACATGTATTGCTTTTAATACGATTATTTCTATAATTTCTACGTGTAGTTATACGATTAAAAAAAGTTGCAGCTATTTTATCATTTATAAGAGTATTTGTTGAAAAAAATGAACAAAACATGCCTAAAGAATAGTTGTTACACATGAAAAATAAAAAATCAATACAGTAATTTCCGCAAACGGTGGAATTGATATTTTGAAGCTGTTGTACATTCCAATGGTAAGTAATGCAGTTTCTTTTGAGTCTATCAATATGATGAGAGATCGTGGGTGGAAGACCATAGCTGTCAAAGTACACTCCATCACCTTTAATTTCAACATATATAGCTACCCAATGCGAGCCAGGTTTGGAACTTTCGACGGTATTAACAATGAGAGCGCACGGTCTCGCCCAAATAAAAGGTAACTGGTCAGCGGGGAATACGCCAACCGTCGCTGCAGGTATATTGCAAAGAGCTCTACGCAGTTGCAACGAGTCCATAATAACAGATGTATGAATTCTTATGGGTTGAAATCTACAACTACTTGACGATTTGAATCTATTTCTAATATGTTGTCAAATTCATCATACAAAATGCAATTTATAGTTTTCGTGAGAGCTGTCTCGAAACGCACCTCTATTCGTACTGTACCATTTTTTACTAAATTCCAATGACCTGCAAAATGTGATGAGAGATCAGGTGTAAGATCAAATGCAAATAGGCAATACCCATTGGGATAGTCTTTTCTGTGAATACTGTTTTCCTCGTTCATGTAGTAGATCCCGGTGCCCGAAAATAAAGTATGGTATGCTTCCACGTACATAGGTGTGTTACCTGTAAAAGTCGGTTGCAGCGGTTCACTAGAGACTTGTACACCATCAACGTATAACGACAAAAAATTTATAGAATAATTTTGAAAGTTAAATGGATTCATCTTTCGATCCTCGTTGAAGGCTTTGTTGTCAACAAAACCTAAAATGATTCTTTTCGGAAGTTGTCCAAGGATAACGTTATCCAAACAGTCACCGCTTATACCGCTATGTAAGGTAAAAGATTTGACTTCGACGCGCGTAATTGGATACTTTGCCGTAGTGTTAGCCAAAGTTTTTGCGTGCGCGATCAAAACTGTAGGGCTAACTTTCACTCGCCGAACGAGAAGCGTAGCCTCGGTAATGCTGATAGAATAATTTTTCGTTGAAGCATCCATGAGACAAAAAGCATCTTTTGAGCGTATTAGACGTAAACGAACTTCGACGCCATTTAATAATAATTTATCCTGATTGAATACGTCGCAGTGTAAATGACCCATTAAGTCTATGGTCTTTCCGTCTTTTAAATATTCTTGACGTTTAGTAAGAGCTGAATTTTTTTTCGAGCCGGGTAATTCGTCCATTTCACCAGCGACATCTGTTTCCCAAAGATTTGTTGACAAATGCGATGATTTTGCTGCAGGGCCGTAATTTAAAAGCGTTTCAATGTATGCTCTGTAAGGGTAAGCATTATTTGGGGGAGTCACGAGTTTTTGATTAAAATATACGTCAACTTGGTTGAATATCGAGTGTAAAAAATTGTTTACTGGAGCTACAAGCGCATCCCCATCCTTGTCGTAAGGTGTCAATTTGACATTCACTCTGAGCATCGTATGGGCCAAGTCGATGTAATCCTCGTTTTGAGAACTGATAACGAACTCTATTGGACTCTCGTCGCTTAACGACGAAACAGGTTTGTAATGCACCCATCGGTTAGCTTCTAATGCCGTCTGCGTGAGAGGAACGGAAAATAAATCCAATTCGCTCTTCAAGCAAGGGTCTGTGTGACTATGCAGGAAAAAGATGATTATCCAAAAATATCTACTGGTTTTGATTTTTTATTTTTAACTGCCTTTCTCTTAGTTTTTCGAACAACTCTTTTTTTTACCTTTCTGTTTGATTTTTTTTTCTTACTATTTTTTTTATTTTTCTTACGCGTACCTATTTTTTGCTTGACTTTTCTCGAACGACTTTTTTTCTTTTTTTCTGCAGCGTTTAACGAGTTGTTTACACCACCGCTTCTACGCCGAGACTGTGCTCTTTTCTTATATGGTAAAGCATTATATCCCGATCCTTCCATCAGCTTCACAATTTTTTCTGTAGCTTTACGTTTTAAATTTTTACCAGATTCGTTTATCCGATTCTTGAATGCGTGTTTAAATGGAATATTGCTTTCCCCTATATCGTCAATTATATTAACTCCCGCTCGTAAAGCTTCTTTTACAACGGCAAGAGCACCTCTGACTATGTAGGGCACAGCACTCCGAAATAGTCCAATGAAAAAAGAACCTAATCCATGTCCTCTCTGTCTATATGACCCCGCAAACACATGCTTGACTCCTCTTCCGCCCCCGTGCTGTGTGTGATACCCCTCGTAAAAACCATTTTGTAACGATTCGCTTAAAAGAAAACTTTCCTAAAATGTAACACCACGGTCAGTGTCCCAAACTCAAATGATATTGGTTTACCAAATTGATCTCTTATATCTATATCAATTGTATGAAATCTATTATTGAGGAGGGGTACGTAGGCTGGTGGAGTATATCTCTTGACAATTGTGCTTCCGAAATTAATTTCTTGAGCGGCTAAATTTACTATTTTCAGCAGGGGTGCAAATGTATCACCAACTATACTTGATTCACATATATTAGAATAGATAAAAAGTTGATCGGGTACCGCTCTTGATAAGCTTGCTGGTTGTTTACCGTGAAACAATAGCCTGTAATCCCCTCTTATTTCGGCACGGTCACGCTCAATCTCGGTTAGTCCTTCCTCAAACCCAATAACGCGTTTTAGTACCGTTGATGCAGCCGGAGTTTTTCCGCATGTTCTTGTACGTCCTGGTCCTATTATTGGAAATCCAATAAATACAAATCCGCCTCGATGATCATAAATTAGCTGCTGACATTTTTCATCTTTATGATAGTATTCCAACCATTTTCTATTTATTTCCTCGCATAAACTTTGTATAGAGTCGTAGGTGCCGTGCTGAATAAAACACTTTTTTTCTTCACCAGGATCGCTTATTACTGCCTCTTCTCGTCGCACATGCAAAATAGTGTACGGTACGTGAATCTCGAAAATTCCTACCTCCCATTTACCACTAAGCTCGATCTCTTTCAGTAACTGAGTGAAAAAATTTGTTGTAGTATTGTTCGGAAAATATATCATACTACTATTGCTAGGTAGAGTTACAGTAAACTTGTTATGATGCATTGCTTTTTAAATCGCTTGAATTTATCCACGAGTTAAATTTTTCAGGGTATCCTGCCCAACTAACAAAGTGTTGTTTGTTTTTCCCTTTGCCTCTTGTTTTCAAGATCTTGTCAATTTTATGGTCTTGCTCCGAGACACGCTCTTTGCGAACAGGGTTAAGTTCTTGAGAGTAAAAAAATCCTTCAATTTTTTCATCATCTAAATCACTGAGCTCATGTACATGTAAATTTTGTCTTTTCAAAATTCGAGTAATTTTAAATATCTCTTCACTTTATGTTTTTACTGCACCTTTTTCAAACACATTTTTATCACGGCTTATGCGTACATAATCACCTACTTTATAATTATATTTACTTTGACTGCGCCGTTGTTTTGTTCGAGGTTGTCTCGAATTGACTAAATTTTGTCGTGCTATATGTGCGTTATATATTGTTACACTGCTTGGCGCTAACTTTGTTGTAGAGTGGGGGGTATTATTGTAACCACTCATTAAATCTTGTAAAACGTCTACGTAACGGTATGTATTTTTGTATGTAAAATATCTGTACATACGCTTTTTCAACGTTCGAATGACGCGCTCTAC